TCACTTGTTATTTAGGTTTTGATAACCATTTCATTTTTTGTTTTTTGTTTTTAGTTTTTCAAAAACAAGGTTATTTGATAACCAATTCAATCTTCTCCTTTTTGTTTTCAAAAACCATTTTAAATTCTATCTAAATTTCAAAAACAAAAAGAGTAGTTTTTAAAAACAGTTTTTTGTTTTTCAAAATCTCATTTCTTCTTCTAATACTTAACTTTTTTTTCCTTTCTCATATTTATCTCTAAAAAAATTATTTTTCACTCAAATTTTTTTATTTCTAAATTTCTCTCTAAAATTTTTATATTTTGAATATTTATTGTTATTTATCTGTTTCCAATATTTTCTGTATTTTTGTTTTTTTTCCTGACAGACCAGTTTTATTTATCTCTCTAAAAATTTAATATTTTTCCTAACTTTTTTTTCTCGAAAATTTCATATTTTATAACTTTTCTGTCTCTTCGTAATCTATTTTTTTTTCTAAAAATTATATTTTATTTTTTCGTTCAATTTTCATTCACGGTAACTTTTATTTATTTTTATATTTATTTATTTTATATAAAAATTATATTTTGAATCTTGTTTCTATCTCTAAGTTTGTTTCCACTATAATTTTTCTCTTTCTTTATATTTTTTTTCTTTAACATATCTTTTCCTCTCGACTTTATTTTTTTCTCCAAAATTTTTCTCTTTTTGTTTTAACTTTTCTTTCACTATTTTTTTTCTAAATATTTTTATTTATCTCTCTAAAATTTATCTTCCAAAAGTTTATTTACATCTTTATTTTCATGTCTCTACATCAGGTGAACACAAAAATTTCCGCAAGGTCGGATCCCAAAAATAGAAAATGTATGTCCCGACCTCGTCCCTAATTCCATTTTTTAAATAATTAATATATATTTATTACACTTTTTTATATTTAAATTCTAAAAATAATTAAAAACAATTATAAAACCAATAATTTTTCTCGAGAACATCTCTCGGACCCAAGAACGAGGTGGAGACCGAGACTAAAATTTTTCACGAGCTCGAGATTGGGGAAGAGCATCTTCACTCGCACCCACATTATTTCTACTCTACACAAAATTTTCTCTTTAATATGTATTTTCAATTTTCTAACTTTTTAAAAACAAAAAAACTAAAAATGGTTACCAAACATGTTTTGGTATTTTGTTTTTTAAAAACACAAAACAAAATATGGTTATAAAAAAATATATGGTTTTTTTTTTTAAAACAAAACCAAAAACTAAAATGTGTTTCTTGGTATTTGGTGTTTCTAGCAATATACATGTTATTTCATTCTATGCTCTTTTTTATTTCTTTTTTTTGGATAATATAGGGGTCGCATCTAATATTAGTAGTACACAAAGAAGTTGGTAATTGAATAAACATTTTTTGAATGTAGAGGAAAATACAGTGTTGTTGGAGGCGTTCCAAGAACTGTCATAGTAGTTTAACGAAAATGCATTCAATCGATATTTGAATCAAATTGAACGTCTAATGTCAAAAACAAAATTCCTTCACTACCTTAAAGACATCTTCACATGTTAAGTCTCGAGTTAGAATGCTAAAGTCCAAAATGCAATGCATTAGGCGAGTTGCTTAGAGATAAAAGTAGACTTAATTGAAATTTAATTGAAATGATGAACTCGTATAATTGTATATGGTTGAATAAAACTAAAACTCATGATACCATATGTAATTTCTTAAAATTTGAAAGTATATAACATATTACCATCTTTAAGGTGGTTACCATCTTTAAGGTGGGACGAGTGTCATTTACCTGATTTAAAGTTTCAAATCAAATCAGCACCTAATAATGACAATTTTTACTTAATTTATTTCACTATTTTTTTTATTGAAATTAGAATAACATTTATAATAAAGAATTAAAATGAATCACTTTGAATTAAAATTTGTTCTTAAAACCTTGATCAAATAGACAAATTAGTTTTAAAATAAAATTAAAGAAAATAACATGTCACAATACATCCCACACGAGTTTTCTAGGGATCATCAACAGCTACAATATCCAAAGGGAGCCATTTGGTCGTACAAATAATTGAATGCAGGAAACACCAAAAAAAAAAAAAGTTTCATGTGAACCTCAAACTCAAACCAAGCTTCATTGCTACACCACCTAAACATTAGGATAAAACAGAGCAAAATAAGGATTCAATTGAAACTTCATAAGTTTACCAAAAAAAAAAAAGAGAAAAAATCACTTCTAAAATAAACATGTTACTTCTTAGAAGAGAACTAGAAAAATATTCCGTTTCACGGTGATGAAAGTACTATCTTAAATCAACATTCTCATACAAAATATTAGAAAAGAACTACATTATACAAAATGTCTTTGACATGAAAGTTTCAATTCTACTCACAATCTTTTAATTCGTTGGAAGGAAAAAAAAAAAAGAAAAAACATAAGTGTCCGAAAACACGGGAGCATTAGGGAGGAATGTAGATTTTTCCTATTTCGACGATGTGTCATTCGCTCCTCGAAAGACAACTGTCACTCAAAATAGGCAACTTGAGCTCATCAGCAGAATTTAAAAAGAGGGTTTAAACTTTATATATAGGAGTTTCTGCCTCTCTTTTTTGGTACTTGATGGATGTGGGAATAACAATCTCCCTTTCTCACATCTTTCTTTCCCAATGTTCTCCCTCCCATCCATTTCTTCTTCCTTTGGTCTCAGACACACAATAATTATATATTAAATATTCTTTTTTATTTTTTATTTTTCTTTTTTAAATTCTTATTTTATTTATATTTTGATTAATTATTTTTGTTAAAAATCATATTATATAATTACACATATATATATATAAATTGTGTTGTAAGGCAAAAATTCGACTACCACGTGTCGCACCGCCAAAGCAAGGAGCTGGAGGACTTTCGCACTGGCGTGATTAGGTCCTATAGGAGAGGCCAAGTGCGACACCCTTATTCTAGCTTGGCTAGTCTTCACTTCGTGATCCCAACAATGCACACAATCGGAGAGAAGGCATTCAATGCCATTAACCACAAACGTTATATTTTTTAATTTTTAATTTTCTTTTTTAAATTCTTAATTTATTTATATTTTGATTGAATTATATAATTTTTGTTAGAAATCATATTATATAATTTTTTTTATAAATTTAATAACTAGTTATGTCAAACTTCGAAAGCAAATGAATTTAACCAGTACATTTCTATGAAAATAAGAAAATTTACAATAATTATATGAATAATAAAAGTGCATTTCCTCCATGTTTCACACCGACCATTAATGTATTAAATTGATAGCATCAATGAGAGCAAGAAAATGTGACAACCAATCAGGTTAGTAAAACATTGTATGTTACAGAGAGTAGAAGTCTCGTGATAGCCCCAACGAGAGCAAGATCCTGAATGATAGCAAAAGTGAGACAAAAAGCAAAATACACAACAAATAATTTTGACTCACAACTTAAGACAATATAAAGGTAACTAATTCACATCACTTGCACAGACTCCGACATCGAGTCTACTCGTTGAGCGATTGAGTGCACACTTGCCTATTATGACTCATGTTTCCCCACCTACTATATTTATACTCACGACGTGTTTCGCTAGTAGATGAGATTTTTTGTAACCTACAATGACCAACTCATGGAATGTGCAAGCAATTCATAATGTGACACTTAGTTGGTACTAAATGCAGTTTTTATCTTTGTAAGTAGTTACTTGTGTGACATTTAGAATTTGAACGAAATTTATATCATAATGTGTGATGGTGTCAAAAAGTATTTGTTTCTTGTTTGTAATTGCATTTCCATGATTGCACTCATTTTTCCGCCTTTTTCCATAGAGATGTCTAAGAGTTTGTTGTTTAAATTTTTGTTCTAGATAAATGGACGAAGATTAGAAGCAAAGGTAGCAAAGCTCGAAAGATAGATAGGGTTGTCAATAGGTACCATGCTAAGGGTTCTACAAGAGCAGACCAATGTCATGTTGAACACTCACAATCATTTCCGTACTTTTATCTCTAAAAGTCAACAAGCTAAGATCCGTGCACTTGAAGCAAAGATAGACAGGTATGTAGAACGACTAGAGACTCATTTCAACAATACCGCAAAGATAATGCTGCAGATGAACGCTCAAATAGCTAGATTCATGTAGGACATTCAGACTACAGAGATTATTTTGTTGAGGCAAGAAAATAACAGTTCGCTTGACACATGCAAAGAACAGTGAGGAAAATACCTCAAAGCAAGGGAGCAACTACAAGTTAACTTCACTCTTTTGTGCAACTTGGACTCAAATGGAAGATCTGGGATACCAGAAACACTTACATTATCCGTAAACTCTCCCTTTTATAGAGGAAGGAAATCCTCCATGAGACTTTCCATTACTTTGACGACCATGTGGGAAGAAATTCGAGAGTACTAGGTAGTTATTAAAGTAGTGGGAAGTTTCCATAGTTGTCTGCACATTCTTCCAAGTTGTACGAGTGAGTGAAGTTAACTTGTTGCTCCTTTGCTTGAGGTACTTCTAAGGTTCTTCACCATTTGGAATTGAGTGACACTATTCCGTTCCTTACATGTGTCATCTCAGCATTATTTACACGATACTACTGAAATGAGTCTCTATAGTCGTCCTACTTATTCGTCCATATTTCCTTTAAGTGTATATATCTCAGCTCACTGACGCTCGAAAATAAAGATAGGGCAACGATTATGGGCATTCAACATTACAACGATATGCTCTTGTAGAACTCCCAACATGGTACCTACCGACAACCCTATTTTGAGCTCTGGTATCCTCGCTTCTACACCTCTATGCATTTATCTATAGCACAAAAGAAGAACAAAGGTTCAAACAACAAACTCTTGGACTCTGAGAAAATCCTAGAAACGGGCAAAATGAATGCAGTTATCAAACGCAATTCAAAACAAGAAACAAGTGCTCTAACACCAACTCACACTATGATGTAAACATGGTTCGAATACCAAGTGTCACACAAGTAACTCCTTACAGAGATAAGAATCGTGCTCTCATACCAACTGTCACAAGGCCAAAATCCCAAACAAGAATTTACAGCATTGTGCGGCCTAAGGTCTCAACCTTAGTCAGTCTTCACTCACTTACCTAGGTTAGGTAACAATACACAACACAAAGACACAGGATGTATGGAGTAACACCCTCGTTTTCTTTTTAACTTCAATACATTACAAGAAGTAATATAAAATCGTGTCGAGATGGAGTGAAATGCTTGTATCTGCAAGCTATCCCTTTTATAGATGCTCTCAGCGATCACAAGGCCACTACCCCACTAATGTAGTGCCTCCTTTTAAGGTGCTCATTACCCCACTAATGTGTAGTTACAAAAACTGTCCACTAGGTTGGTTACCAACCACTCATGATTTAGGTAGTTGCTTGAATCTAGGGGAGTAACCATTGTTTATGTTCAAACTAGTTTCCTGCCTCATTGAGTTCAGTATTTCCAGAGCGCAACGTGCACTTCAAGGCAACAAGCTTCTTTTATCACCTTAAGGCAGGAGGCGACAGTGAGGCGCACTTAATAAAATAATAAATAAATATTATCCACGACAATATGTACAAAATAAAATACTCTAGATCAAAATATTAGTAAAACTATTTGATGTGCAAATAAACTTAACTTAAACAATTAAGAAAAATACAAAATATAAGTTTTAAAAAATTTTAGTTAAAATGAATAGAAAGATATAAAAAAAAATTATATTGAAATTAAACAAAAATTAAACCTAACTTAAATAAAAAAGATGGTAGAGTGCTTCCAGCCATTATGCCAATTGCATACGAATATTTTGACTCGCACTAGCACGCACTATGTTTGAAAATGTAGTAAGTAAAAAAAAAAATATTGAAGCAGCAGACAGATACGAGTTGTGGGGTTTTTTATTTTCTCTCTTCGACTCTTCTTCTACTTGTTCGATTCTTCTTCTCCAATTTTTCTTTTACTTCTTCGATTATTCATCTTCGGTTCTTCAATTTTTCTTCTTCGAACTTTGATTCTTCTTCAATTGATAAGAATAATTGATGAACTACAGAAGGATTGAAGAATTGACGCAGAACATTAGAAGAATGGAAGAAGAATTGAACGAAAACGTTAAAAAAAAAGAAATTTGAATACGGACATGGGGTGAGTGCCTACATCACCATGAAGACATGTTCATGGCGACTAAAATGCACAAATGGCGAGAAGCGCTCGCCGGGCCATCCACTCAAGTGACCAACTTGTTCCTCACGTCACCCCTTACCATAAGGGCTCGCCTGGATGCGGCGAGCGCCTTGAAATCACTGGTTGAGCTGTACACAGTCTTACCAAAGCTTTAGGGGATGTTGCACACTAGCATGCCCAAATACTCCATAATGGCCATGTTCCTATGCACATCGCCACGTCGCACACTGTTGCCATGCACTTTCAAGGGCCCGCATCATCTGCCTTGTGTGCTTGTGCTTTTGGCTGTCTGTC